CACACACTCGGACACAACAACAACAACCGTCATTCGCCACTAAGTGGTGGTGACGTCACCACGACGCTTGTGCCAGGCCATGTGCACCTTGAGGCCACGTGAAGAGTCGAACGCCCGCTGGCAGGAGGTCATGGGGCAGACCCAAGTGCCACGGGTCGACTGACTAAGATGACTGAGATGACTGGCTGATGCACCACCTGTGCCCCCTACTGTGCCAACCTGCTGTGCTTTAGCCACCCGGCGCTCCGCTCGTTGTTGTGAGCGTCGCTCCTACGCCCTCCGTTGTTGTTGGAGGGCGACTGCCTCCAACTGCCCAGTAGCATCCTTCACGAGCCTCCTCCACAGAGGCCGACCTTGACACCGCTGGTACCAGTCATCGGCAAGTCCACTCAGCTCCACGTCCTCCTGTACCACATCACGCCTCGATCCGGCCAAACAAAAGCTGTTTTGGCATGCGGTAGCTGGGCATGCGGGCTACATGACCCAGCCAACGCAGCCTTGCCTGCCGGAGGAGCTCACCGATGGGACCTTGCCCAGATCTTTCAAGGATTTGTGAGCTCCTCACACAATCCAGCCTGGTTAAACCCAGGATGGATCGTAGGCAGGCTAGCCTAAATGTTTCTAACCGGCGAAGATGTTCCATTAGGGGAGTCAACGTTTCGCAAGCGTAGAGAAGGGAGGGAATGACCGTGGCCGAGAAGACCTGAAGCTTAGTGCGGAGCGACAGACCAGGTTGCTTCCACACAGCGTTACGCAACCGATGAAAAGATATTGCCGCTCGACTGATTCGGAGTGAGACCTCTGCTGTTAAACTGGAGCCGGTCATAAGCACACTGCCCAGGTATGGGAAACTCTCCACTCTCTCCACAACTGCCCCATCACCGATTGGGAGTTGTGGGGGTGGAGTGTCCGATGGTACAAAATACCCAGGCAGGTGCTTAGTTTTTTTGGGGCTGATGGTAAGGCCCCATCTCTTAGTGGCACGCTCCAGTCTCAGCAGCAGCGTCTCCAACTCCTCCTCTGAATGAGCACACACACACACTCGGACACACTCACCCACACACACACTCAGACAAACACACTCGGACACACTCACACACACACTCACCCACACACACACACACTCGGACACACACTCGAACACACTCGCACACATTCGCGCGCCCATGAGCACAAAACGCAATAAAACGCACCCAATTCATACGCAAACCATCCATGACCACTCGTCTCTGCTCGACCTATGGAGATGTCAGCAAAATGAGAGTGGCGGCCAAGACGCCTCAATGGAGTCCCCCCCCCCCCGCCCCCAGGGGACTTGTCGACGGTCCGAGTTGCGGGCAACCCTTGGCCACCGATCACAGCCCGCCCCGGTGCCCGTCTCTCTCTCTCTCAGGGGTTTTACGAGATTCCGGAGGGCGACTGCGTCTCGAGTACGGACAGAGGTCGTGGTCGTTGCGTCTCTCCTGTTCAAAAACCACTGGCGCGCGTGCACGCTTTTTTGTTCAATTCGCGAGCGGTCCGACTGATACGTCACCGTTTGCGTGTGCGAGACGAACGCAAACGGTCGCCCCAACAAAGAATCGTCGCCTGTTCAAGGGAGACGCAATCCCGCGAATTTGACATCTCCCGTCGTGTAGACGGCCAGCGGCATCGCGCGGCGGCTTTCGGATGCGCTTCTGCGGCCGTCTGCGACGCTCTCCCCTCCGCTGTCAGGAAGCCCCTGGAGCCGATGCACTTTTTAAATCGAGATTGAAGCGCTTTTCGTCTTTAGTTTGTCTTCGTCTTTCCCCCACACGTCAACACACTCGAAAGCAGAGGCCTAATCAAGCAGGTGCCGACATTCGGGTCAACGGGCGTGCGCCTCCTGAGCGCCACCCAAGCTGCGGTTGTTCGTCCTCCTCGACTGCGAAGGCCCCTCGTGCGTGTGGACGATGTTTTTTTTTTCACGCGAAGAAATGCAACGGCTTCGAAACTTTCGTCCGTATTTTTTTCCCCCCCCCGACAGCCGTGAGCACGGCGCGTGGCGCGTGGCGCGTGGCGGCGAGCCCGGCGAGGCTCCAACGCCACGGCAGGGGCACCGCTCTCCGGCGCCGCTCCTGGAATCGACGTCACTGCGGCGACGTCACGAAAGCTCGTCCGATCTACTTTAACGGTTCTTTACGTTTTTCTTCGTCATTCTTCATCCTCTCCTTCGTTCTCCGTCTCCCTTTATTATTATTATTCTTCTTTTAGTCTTCTTTTTCTTGTCTTCCTTTTCTTTTAATCTTCTTTTTCTTATTTTTATCTTATTCTCTTCTTTTCTCTTCTTCTGCTTCTTCACTTTCTATTCTTCTTCTTTTGCTACTTCTTTTTTTCACTTCTGCTTCTCCGTCTTCTTCTTTTTCGTCTGCCCATTCGCAAAATCTCTCAGCTCGAGTCGGATAGCCGGAAACACGCAGCCTAGGCGTGGGTCTAAAAACGTTGTTCAGTGCTCTCTTCGGCTTGCACGTTCGTGATGTGATTTTTTTTGCCATTTATTCAAAAGGAACTTTTTGGTCTCTCGCCATCCCGCTGCATTGAGTTTCTGCTGCGATTTGGACGGCGATTTGACAGTTTTTTTTATTTCACGACAGGAGCCATCCGCGATTGGATGGAATTTGTCACACGCTGCTTATTCCTCCTCCTGCAAATGCATTTGCTGCACGTTTATTTTGGGAAAACGTGTAAATGACATCCACATTCGTATCCTGTTTGTGTGCAGGAGTTTTTTTTTATGAAGCATGACATGTTAACTACTTTGCCTGGTATACAGGAGATCGTGGGTTCGATGCCCACCCTGACGATGCCTGTATATTAAGGAGTTTGCGTGTTCTCCTCGTGGTCGGGTGGATTGTTCTCCAGAGCCTCCCTCCACATTTGGAAATGTGCTGTTCAGAGTATTTGACCGGTATAAATGTTCCACGCGACAAGTCACTTGACGAGCTATCCTTTGTGGCCAGCGTCGCTTCTGAAGAGCGCTGAATAGCTCAGTGTGCCCTTACCTGGTAAAATAAAAAAAATAGTTCGTGAATATTTGTTTTGTAGTTAGCTCTGATGGAAGAGTAGCCCAAGCAACGACAGTAGGGGCCACATAGAGCTCGCTCACGTAGCGGTCCATCCACCAGAAGCGGAACCTTGGCCTATGACATTTTTATTGGCTGTTTCAGCATCGTTTTACACATCGTACCCCCAAGTCCCCCCTAACACCTACCCGCCCGAGGAAGCCAACGGTCCCACCAGCTAGTCCCAATCTCGCACACGCGTGCGCGCTAAATGAATAGGTGAATTACAATTCTAGATTTGAAGCTTTCGTGACTGCAAGGATCCATACTCTTTGGTTCTATTCGGTAAAGTCACGTAGGTAAAAAATAAAATAACAAAAATCACGACGTTTCGGCCACAACCTGATGAAGGCCACTTGTGTTGTGGCCGAAACGTCGTGATTTTTGTTATTTTATTTTTTACCTACGTGACTTTACCGAATAGAACCAAAGAGTAAGTGAATTACACGTTATCACTCGAACACAAGATTCGCCGAGTCTTACGTTGCGTTTGCCCCCCCCCCCTCCTCCTCCTTGTCTTCCAGAAGACCCTGCGTTACCGTGATGTTCGGTCAGATGGACGTGCAGTCAGAAGAGTGGTGACTCCGTAACCGTTGTGTTTTATTTAGCACCGCTCCTACGCTGCATGGGGCCACACGCCTGTCCATCACCCCTCATATACATAGCGTATATGACAATATGACGGGCAAGTAGCCAGAGAATGTCTCAATGACCGCTTGGCTTGATGAACACACTGGTAGACTGTTGGACAGACTGACACAAAAAAGACAAAGATCCCCCGTGTAGCCTTAACAGACTCTTGGGGCAAGTGCTGCTAGCGAGCACCTGTGAAGGCCGGCACGGCACGCGAGGGGGTGGGTGGACAGCACCACTGCCCGGCCGCCTTCGTCTCCCTAGCGGCGATGTTTACACACCGCACCAGGTACTCATTTGAGGCTGAGTCGACCTAGGGGAGGCCAAGGACCGGTTCAGATAATCGTCACCGGTGTGACGATTGGTGGCCGTGAGCGGGAACAGAACTCGGGTCGCCGGGTTCGTAGCGCAGCGTAGCGCTAACCGTTACGTCACCGCTCCCCACCAGACTGGCACACACACAGAATGACACGCCGCTAACAGGCAGACACACTGACGCACAAACAGTTAGAGAATATGGACATATTGATAGAAATGCAAATACAAACAGGCTGACAGAGACACAACACAGACAGACTGACACACAAAAACAAACACAACGACCCCATACATAGTCTTCATTAGACTGTTGGGGGCAAGTGCTGTTAGCGAGCTCCTATTAAGGCTGGCACGGCACATGAGAGGGTGGGTGGCCAGTACCCGGGCCGACCGCCTTTGTCTCCCCAATGATAATGTTTCCACAGCACACCAGGTACTCATTTAAGGCCGAGTCGACCTAGGGGAGGCCCAGAACTGGGTCAGATATTCGTCACCCATGTTAGTTGTGAGTGGGAATCGAAACTCTGTCCGCTCATACACAAACAAAAACAAAGGCACACACGGACAGACACACACACACATACACAAGACTAAGACAAAGATCCCCGGTATAGCCTTAACAGACTGTTGGGGCAAGTGCTGTTACCGAGTAGCACCTGTGAAGGCCGGAACGGCACACGAGGGGGTGGGTGGCCAGCACCACGCCCGGCCGCCTTTGTTTACCCAGTGCCGATGTTTACTACACACCGTACCAGGTACTCATTTGAGGCTGAGTCGACCTAGGGGAGGCCAAGGACCGGTTCAGATAATCGTCACCGGTGTTGGTTGCCGTAAGCGGGAATCGAACTCGGGTCGCCGGGTTCATAGCGCCGCACGCGAACAGCTACACTACCGCTCCCCATACGTACACACGACACGCACACGGGTGCACACAAGCGCGGAGGACGCAGAGGCGCCGGGATGGCTGACCTGCGAGACAGTGATGCCGCATTTTTTCGCCAGCTCCTCCTTGGCTTCCTCGCTGGGGTAGGGGTTGCTCAGGTGTGAGTAGAAGTACTCGTTGAGAATCTCTGTCGCCTGCTTGCTGAAGTTGCGACGCTTGCGTCTGCGCAAAACACCAAAGCAGGCAACAGCAGCAGCGGCGGTCAATTATGCATCACACGGTCACGAGACGGGGCTCAGCTCGGCTTTGTTTGCGTCTTTCGATAACGTCACAATGCGGTGGAGGTATACTAAACTAACCTAACTGTACTAAACAAAACTTTTTTTTTAATATTAACTCAACTAAACTTTTTATTTTACCAGGTAAGGCCCACCGAACTGTATAGCTCATTTTCGGAAGCGACCTGGCCACAAATGATAGCTCAACGAAGTGGCTTATCGTGTGGAAATGTATAGCAGCAGCCAAATGCTCTAAACGCGTGATGTTGATTCTAAATGTGGAGGGAAAAACCGGAGTACCCGGAGAGAAATCCAGACGACCACGGGGAGAGAGAGGCATGCAAACTCCAAATATGCAGCAGGCGTCAGGGTCGGGATTGAACCCACGACCTCCTGCATACCAGGCGAGGTAGTTAAGATCTTGCCACGAATCGATGACCCACTGCCACCCCTCACCCCCCATGATTTGGGGCTATAATTTGACGCTATCGCCGCTCGGATGGGTGAGTGTGAAATCGAAAGCGGTGCTGGTGGTGGTGGTGGCGCGGCTCGTTGCCATGCGTTGTGAATAGAATGGTGGAAACAGCCCGGGAGTTAAAAAGTCGACCTCGCGTTTTTGTTCGCAATAGCGCATTGCACCGTAATTGCCCGCACCACGTGATCACGCTATTCGTAGCAGAGGAATACATTAGTAACAATAAAATGCAATCAGACGAATACAGTCCACAATCAGTGGACGTTGCTGCCAAGAGCTGCTCAAGTAAATCACAGATATGTACGAAGGATTTGGCAAAAAATAACCACGGACAAAAGCGAAACTTACGGAGAACTCTTCGGGCAGCGGGAGAAACGTTCCCTGCCGACCGGCGCGCGCTTGCCTACGTTTAAAAACGCGGCACAGACCACCACTGCGAACCCCCCCCCCCCCCACCCCCTCCCGTATCTGTCGCACTCGTGACCGAACGCGGGAGCGTGCGGATTTATTTTGGAACGTCCCACCTCCTGTGGAATTAGCGGGGCTCGTGCAAGGGGGCGGTGGGGTAGGCGTTGCCTTCCCTCATTTGTAAATTCCGCAGTTGGAGAGACCCCCGCCAGCGATGGTGCGTTACCTTGACGTGCTCCCCGTGACGCTTTTGTTTTAATTACTGTTATTACGCACAACGTTAACGCCGACGCCTCTGCCGGCGCCGTGATGACAACGCGGCATTCGAGATATTTCATCGCCATCTAACCGGCCGGGCGGCACAGCAGCAGGCGGAGCTGGCGAGGGAGCGAGCGAGGGGGACTCGCAGCAATCGGAAAGTTGAGAGTTCAAATCCTGGTTGAGGGCGGTTGACTCAGCCCATCGGCCCCTCTGGGGTCGATGGGCTGAGTCTCGCACGGTGGGGAAGACGAGAACAGACGTGATCGTCCATGGGTAGAATGGCCCCAACCATGAGGGTATTTACACCACTGGCTCTGCAGAATAATAAACAGGAGATGAGCACCAGCGCCTCGTTGCTTATTTGAGCGGCGGGAAATCACTCACTCTAACTTTGGTAATTTATCGTCTTATGGACTTTTTTGTAGTCAAGGGTTTCTTTCCTATTAGCCGGCAAATTTATGTGGCAATGTCACCGATCTGATGAGTTTACAAACCAGCACTTCCCTGAATGGCCTCCATGTGACTCGTGCGTCTCTGGACATATCAAATCAGGAGCGCAAGTGCACACACACACACATACATAAACACGCATCTCCCATCTCTCTCTCTATCGAATGCATCTTCTAACTCTCTTCCATAACAGAGGTTTTTTGGGGTTAGATCGCGTAAATATATAAATGTGTCGTTAAACCCGCCACCAACCGACACAGCCAACTAGTAAGGGTTGTTGCGTGAACAGAACGTGGCCAATTCGTCACTAGTACAGCACACCGGTGTGTTGGAGAGCAAAGCCACAACATTTACAATCTGAGTTTAACATTTTGCAAGTAGTTACAACTAGCTTCATCAGGCGACAGCCAGATTTGTGGAGAAATCCTCCTGTTTAGTTCCTTATTGGCATGTTCTGTTTACGTGACAAACCCTACATTTATATATTTACGCTATCTAACCCAAAAAACCTCAATTATGGATGATATTGGTTTGCGAAAGCCTACTACTTGTTAACAAAGTCCTATCTGTCTCTCTTCTCAATACATCTCCTCTGTCTTTTGAATACATCGCACACCACTCTCTTCTCTCCTATCTCTATTTTGAATTCATCTCTTTGCACTTCTTACCACATCTCCCATCTCTTCTCATCCGAATATATTTTCTCCTCTCTCTTCAGAATACACCTCCCATCATCTAAACGAAATGTAAAACTAAACTATTTTGTATTTGAACAGGCAGGGCCCACTGAGCCGCATAGCTCTTTATTCAGAAGCGACCTGGCCACAAATGATAGCTCAACGAAGTGGCAGGTTATCACGTGGAAATTTATAGCAGCCAAATACTCTAAACGCGCGGCGTCTACAAATGCGGAGGGAAAAACCGGAGGACCCGGGACGAAAAATCCACGCGATCACGGAGAGAGAGAGAGAGAGACACGAAAAACTCCAAATATACAGCAGCAGGCGTCAGGGTCGGGATCAGACCCACGACCTCCCGTGCACCAGGCGAGGTGGTCAACACCTCGCCGCCGTTTCCCGCCGGGCGGCTCTCACCGTGCGTCGAGGAACCGCGAGCGCAGGATCATGACGGCCTCGCACGTGCTCTGCTTGAGCTGCATCTGGATGGAGCTGAACTTGCGGTGGATGATGCCCACCATGCGCTCGATCTCCTTGGGCGAGATGGGCCGCGTGCGGCTCTGCTCCCGCAGCAGGTTCATCACGTGGGTCGTGAACTCGTTGCACGCCTGCCGCACCACGTCCAGGGTTGGGGGGGAGGGAGGGAGGGGGGGGGTGGAGGGGCAGGCGGGGGAGGCGGCGGGGGCGGGGGGTATCGTGACACCAACGTCAGCACCGTCGCTTCATCGTCGTCGTCGTCGGCGGCGGCGGCGGCATCGTCGCGATCGCAGCCCTCCCGTGCGTGTTCGTTGTTGTCATCATTTGGCACGATGCCCGACGTTCCGCTCCGCGTGCTCGGAGCTTCTTCCACAACGGAACGGAGCTGCTGCTCATGTTCGATTGCCGGCCGCTGCCGCTAATGTAGGCCGACCCAATTTCACTCATTGTATTTCTCCAATTGTTATGATGGTGATGATGTCATCATCAACATCATTGTTTGGACAACATACTCTTATATTGTATAATAGTTTGTTTGCATGTTTTGCCACAAGTACATGTGGTTAATGCAGACTTGATGCCTTGCAATAGGTATCGATTTGGTGTTTGAACATTTTAACACCTGTCTTAATTTCTCATCACAATATACTTTTATTTACCATCAGCACACCTGTCAACCCCTTACCAGTGCCCTACCTTCTAACAGACCAATTCAGACCTTATTGGTGTCCCCGTGCCCTTATAAAATCTCAACGTTCATCCTACAAAGTCTCATCCCAAGGGAGGAACACAAACAAACACAATTTTTTTGCTCGTATTGAAACGGCTGGACACCATGTGGACGTGAAAACTCAATTTCCCTGTACAAGATTACGGAGTAAACCGTGTGGGTTGACAGGGATGCATCAGCATCGCTATTTATGGAGTAGACTACCATCACTTTCATCATCATGAACATCCTTTATACACAAGACAATATTTATCAACATAATTTATACGATGGAGTACCTTTACCATTAGCCAGATCATGATCATCATTTATGCATCAGGTGCCCTCTACCGTTACCATCGTCATCATAAATTCCACATTGAAATATATGCTAATATTGCTGTTACCATATAACCCACCACCTTTCCATCATCATCATCATTACTACCATCGCAAAAAATCCATCATCGGAACCACCGCCACCGTCGCCGTCGCATCCACTTCCTCACCGTCGCTCATTCAACTCCACCTTTACCACCAACGGCTACCACCACCGCCGCCGCCGCCGCCGTGGCGACGACCGTGAAGGCCGCCGCCACGGACGCGCGTGTCTGTGAACCTGCGTGACCCCGCGTGACCCCGCGTGAACCCGCGTGAACCTGCGTGAACCTGCGTGAGTTTCAAAGCCACTGACCATCCTCACCTGCTCGTACTTCTCCAGCTCCGTGTGGTAGATCTGCCGGATCTGGGCGAGCTTGGCGCGGTAGTCCGAGTGCTCCGCTGAGTTGTCGGCGTTGGCGCCGCCGGCCACCGCCGCGGCCGCCGCGGCCGCCGCCGAGCCCCCGCCCTTTTCGGGGCCTGCCACCCCCTCGGCCAGCAGCATGTTGTCCAGACGCATGAGCTGGGGGTCCGGTGGATCGTCGTCCTGGGCCCCCCGGATACTGAGCACTGCACGCGGTGAAGGCGGTTGGGGGAGGCGGAGGGAGAGGCGCGCGGAAGGCCGTGGGGGAGGTGACGGGAACGTAAAGGGATGTTGTGGAGAGCCGTGCGGAGGTATTGATGGGTAGAGGGAGGTATACGGAGACATGGAGGGGCACGGGGAGGCATGGAGAGAGGTATGGGAAGGTATCGGGAGACATGAGGAGGCAGAGGGAGGTGTGGGAACGTATTGGGAGAGACAAAGAATGACAGGAGGTGACCTGTTAATAACATTTCATCGCAAGTTATTTTGGACAACAATTGATACGCTCACATGCTGCGCGTGGGTTATTGTTATGCTGTTATTGTTTACTTCAGCAATAGCGTTGCATTGTAATATATTACATTTGTATTGAAGAGAAAATACTGCACGATTAATAGAAATAACAGTGCAACGTTGCTTACTAATGAATAAGGTTATCGCCAATAAATATTGTTGAGTGCGTGGCGTAACATTGCCAAACACTCTGAGTATCACCACACCGATACCAGCGTCATACCAACTATAACATGTCAACAACCAATACATAATCAACAAAGCCCCACATTCACCACAATAACCACCACATTCACCACATTCACCACCATCACATTCACCACAACCACCACACTGCCCACAACAACCACCACCACATTGACCACAACAACCACCACCACATTCACACAAGCGGCATCTCATTGCGGTAACCGTTCGCAATGAGTTTATTTTAAGACAGGTGAACAGCCCACTGAGACAAACGCATCCATTTGCTCGAGGGTAGACTAGTTTCGCTCTAAATACCAAAAGCGGAATATTCCATTTGCTTTGCTTATTAAAGCCATCCGAGTGAAGAGAACGAACGCGACTTCAAGGGTGTTTTATGAAACGACGACGAAAAAAAATCCAACCGGGTGTAAAAAAAATTCAAATTACGAAAAAACGCCCCAGAAAAATCTAATTAAAGCATCAACAGCAAAACTGGGTGAGGTGCACAAACTAAAAACGTCAAACGCACGCGGCTCGGTAATGACCTAAAAATAAGATTCGACGTGCAAGGTGAAAAAAAGACCTGGCGTGGAAACGCCAACAGATATTTATTTCACGTAAAACGAGTAACAACGAACCGTGCGTACAACGCGCGAGCAGGCGCGCGTACTCACGCCTGCGGAGGTCGGGAAGGAGACGCGTTCCCGTGACTCATTTTGCGTCTAATTGTGGCCTTCAGCCAGGCATCAGTCTGGCAGGAAGCTACTCGCACCGCTCGCGTGCGCAATACAACAACCAACCTATGTTCTGTATCACCGCAGGGCCAACGTAGAATGTATTTTAGTGTAAAATGCGCTGTTGGCCTTCTTCTATGCCTGCATTAACCAGCACCATTTGGTTAAAACGTACACACTCGTCAGGAGTGGTGAAGTACGGTCAAACAAACCCCCTCCACTGGCACGGTGCGACGAGTCGGTCCCCCACAGGTGGATTGGCAAAAGGGCCGTAAGCATGCAGTGACATTGCAACGCCATGGCACCGACAAATTGCACACAGTGCGTACAACCGCACACAAAGACCTCCCGCGTACAGCCTGAACAGACTTTTGGGGCAAGTGTTGTTAGCGAGCACCTTTGAAGGCCGGCAGTGCACAGAAAGCGCGTGGGTGGCCAGCACCATGCCGGGTCGCACACATACTTAGACACACACACACACACCCATCCACTCATACACATACTCACCCACACACACATAAACCCCTTGGCCAAGATGCCACTTTGCGTAATCCACTTTGATGTAAATGTTTTCTGTTGCGAAACAAAAACACAAATAAATAAAAATACATCTGGGCTCGGGCTCCCCCCACCCCCCCCCCGCTTTGACGGAGACTTGCAAGGAGGGAGACATCATGCCTGCATCAGCCTCACTAATGTCAAGTGACGTCACGCATAAGGTCAGGCCATATCCGAAGACCTTCGCTCGAAGGCAAACGTTGCTTTCCATTGTACCTGCGGTGGAACGAACCTCAGCGCGACGACAGAACAATACGGAGCACCGCGAGCTACCCCCCCCCCACCTCTCTCCCGCCTGCTGAAGTGGCTCGCTTGCAGCGCCAACGCCGGCGTCTGCGACTTTGTCATTCGCCGACGGGGGGGGCGGTGGGGAGTGGGACCCAACGCGAAAACGAAATGCCGAAAGGCGGGAAGCGCGCGTGTCCTCCCACGTTTTCGTTGGGTTCTTTCGTGCGTGCGACCCCGTCCAGCCCGGAGCGTTTCAGTTCGCCGGGCGGGAGGGCCCCCCCCGCCGAGAGAGCCCCCCCCTCCCGCCGAGACTTCGCGTCCCTCTTTCGTAAAAGGGGCGGCCTGCGTCTGCAGGCGACGGTGGCCTCGTGCAAGCAGTCCAGGACTAACGGACGGGACGCTATGACAAAATGACGGAGGGATGATTTAAAATTGCGCGGCGTAAAACGATCAAGAGGTGGGGGCAAGTGCTCAGTGTCTTGTTCACAGCGCCCTGACACAATTATGGAAATGCCACATTCCTTCAGCGGGGACCTTGTCTCTCCACTGGACAACGACTGAGCAATATCCGCTGAGCGGCATTTGTTTTACCTACCCTACAAGTGCGACGGGCGGGAATGAATCTCCAACTCGGATGTGAGCCATAGCTTCAAACCGCCGTACTGCACACTTGGTCGGATAAATCAAACTCTCTCTAGCAGTGCTAAATTGTACACACACACCTGAATGCTCTTGTAACGTGTTGTAATGCTCGCCCTGCGGTGCCTAAATAGGCTTGCTGTGGCGATTGGAAAAAAATGGCAATTGGGGAAGACAATTGGCTTTCCAACAGAGGGCACTGCGCGGTGCATCCCGTCCCGGTGTCTGCGTGCGTGTGTCTGTGCAGCAATGTACACACACGTGGGGAGCGGTGGTGGAGCGGTTAGCGAGCGGCGCTTCGAACCGGACGAGCCGAGTTCGATTCTCGCTCGTGGCCAACGCCAGTGACGATTATCTGAACCGGTCCTAGGCCTCCCCTAGGTCGATTCAGCCCCAAATGATTACCTGGTGTAATGTGTAAACATCGCCACTAGGGAGACAAAGGCGGCCGGGCGTGGTGTTTGCTACCCACCCCTAGTGTGCCGTGCCGGCCTTCATAGGTGCTCGCTAACATCACCCGCCCCCAGCAGTCTATGAAGGCTACACGGGATGATATTTGTCTTTGTACAGCGACCCGGCGGTGTGGCAGCCAAAGTGGCCTCACGCGCTAATGGCAGCCTTACTAGTTTATACTAATGGGGTAATTACCCAGCAGACACGGCAACGTTGGGCCAACGTTGGCGTGTGGTCAGAACCGTTAGGACCAACCGTTGGCCCGAAACGTTGGCGCAACGTTCCACGCCTAAATGGGTCTTACTCATAGGCGACTATTTAATTGACAGTTTAAAATGGTATCGTCAAGACACATTATAAAATGAAATTCTCATCGGGCCCCGCGGCGTCAAGTGGCGTCTTCCAACCCTCTCCATCTCTCTGGCTTTCTCGAAGTATGTGCTATGAACAAGGGACATTGCCCAAAAGGTGACCCGTTATATACAGTTTTCCTTTTAAGGCCACAGCGTTATTGAAGAATGTGTTGAAATTATTCCGTGACCTGTTTACGTGGCCCTGTGTGCGTGCTTATATAAAGTAGCGGGGGGGAGCGCCGGTGTAGCGGACAGAGCGCCGCACTTCGAGCCCGGCGACACGGGTTCGGTTCCCGCTCATGGCCACCAACACCAGTGACGATTATCTGAACCAGTCCTGGGCATCCCCTAGGTCGACTCAGCCTCCAATTAGTACCTGTTGCGGTGTGTAAACGTCGCCACTGGGCAGACAAAGGCGGCCAGGCGTGGTGCTGGCCACCCACCCCCTCGTGTGCTGTGCCAGCCTTCATAGGTGCTCGCTAACAGCAATATGGGGGTTCCTTGTCATTGTGTATAAAGTGTCGGCAGTGATCCGCACATCGTGCTATGACCATTGGACCCCCTCTAGGTTGCCACAGCCTTGAAACGAGTATTTGCCGTGCTGTGTAAGCATCAGCACTGGGGGGAGACAAAGGTGGCCGGGTGTGACGCTGGCTACAACCACCACCCGTCCGGGGAGCATCAGCGACAACACATTAAACCCCGGGGGGCTCTGACGGGCGAGACGCAGCCTCTGCTGCAGAGGCCTGGGCAGTATCCGAGCGAGGGAGACAAAGGCGGCGCGGTCTCGCGCGCACTCTCCTATCCACGCCTCCAGCCATGGGCGCGGCGCTGACGTCGCCCATGGCCCCACCAGTCTCGTCAGGCCAAAATGCGCCTCCGACGAGCGCGGCTGGCCACGTGCGGCCCGCGCGCGAAGTTCAACGCGCGTGTGCGCGCGTTTCGATGCTCTTCCGTCGAGCGGATACGATTGTAATGTCTGTGCTGGGGCAAATGGGGCCGCGATGGCACGTGGGTTGGAGAGTGGACGTCTTGCAGTCGATTGCTGTTGTCGCGGAACGTGTCGCCGAGTATGTTCATCGCACAATCGCACGTCCTGTCACATCTCCGGTGTTGAAATTCAATGAATCGCACCTTTAGCCCTTTTACGCATCTGCGTGCGCGCAACTTTAGTCTCCTACAAAGGCAAAGATACCCCGTTATAGCCTTAACAGACTGTTGGGGCGAGTGCTGCTAGCGAGCAGCACCTGTGAAGGCCGGCACGAGGGGTGGCCCAGCCCCACGCCCGGCCGCCTTTGTCTCCCCAGTGGCGATGTTTACACACCGCACCAGGTACTCATTTGAGGCTGATTCGACCTAAGGGGTATTGATTCAGATATTCGCCTGCTACACACACACGTGCACACGCGCACACACTCGCCATGTTTCTATTGTGTAACCAGCTCTCCATCGCAAATGGGCATTCATTGCCAAATGGGGCTTACCTGTGGCCAACGGGAACCAAACCCAATCCACACACCTTTCCGCTACAGTGTTCAT